TGAATGGAACAATTTCAGGGCTCCAGGAGATCAAAGCCCTTTCACAGAATTCAAGATTCTCTCAGGACTAAGACCAAGATCTTCTCTGGGTGGCCCATATTTATTTGGTTATCGGAAGAAGGGAGGGGAGGACTCAAGAGGGGGAGGGAATTACTCAAGGACTCCTCAAAGTAAGGTATTAAACTAATCCTTGATAAAGATTAAGTTAATCCATCCAGGAGTGAGATGCCTGATTCTATAGTCTTTATCTAGTTGAGATCAGATTCAGGTGTCCTTGGCTGTGGTCTTGTCTTATCCTTTGAGGCTTTCTGGCTTCATCTGCCACTACAGATTTTAGTAGGGATTAGTGACTCACAGAGGTTCACTTACTATGAGTCTGTCATCCACCTCTAGAAAATGACCTAGGTTTTGGACAGATTCAAAAGTAAATGTAAAAAGCCAATTGGTTAATTTAAGTCCTACTTGGGGCTGCTTCATTGTAGTCTCCATCACAGGTGGTGCATACTACAGCATGCTCAGTAGTGGGATGGAGCATCTGTCAGAGTCTGAGGACTGCATGGATGCTAGATGGTACTCATGGGACCAGACAAGACACTTATAAGTAACTGAAAACTAAGGGTTGCCAAATTCTCTGTGATGTGAGTGAGTGGGGACTCACTTGTTTACCCTTGTTTACCCTTTCCCCACCAAAGAAGAAAAATTAACCCCCTCTTGATTCAAGGTTGATTTTGAAAGGGTAGATGTTGTGTGCCTACTTTGCTTCTTTATAAGGTTATCACATATCTCTGTGCTCTGCAATGTCTTTTCCACATCCCCACTTCACTCTAGCACTTTGCCTCCAATGTGTCAATGAAGTTGTTACTTTATCCTTGTTTTGGAGGGAAGCATGACATAGACCTCTAGTCACCTATCTTTGTTGACATCATTTCTGTTGCAGAAGTATTAGTTTAGATTACAGTGAGCTAAGTATGTATATTATAATTTCTAAAGTCAATATTTAAAAAGATGATAAAATATAATAAATATTTGTGTAATCACAAAAAAATTCATTAAAGGGGGAGTAAAAGAAAAAAGACATACAAGAAAATTAGAAAGAGTGAGAGATGGTAGGCTTACTTCAAAATATATGAGTAGAGGCACGGGCAGTCTGCCATTGCTCTTTGAATGGCATGGCTCTGGTTCATGCGCATGCACCGAACTGACTAAGAAGCAGAATCAGGCAAGCTACGACCCACTCCCACCACGATGGTTCCCAGCGGAAACTCATGGAGAGAACCTGGTATTTCCCATCTACTTCCTGGGGGCAGAGAAGGCGACCCAGGACCCCTCCACCATTACAGTTTGAGTCTCTGCCCTCCGTGCACCCACAGCAGACAGGAATTCCTCACTCAGAAGCCCCGGAGACTGCTCTCACTGGGGTTCATGTGTAGGCCGTCCTTGCACAGGCCCTGCACTGAGTGAGCAAGCGCTCCAGAGCTGCTGGTCCCATGGTTCAAGTCCATGCTTTACTTGAGCCTCTGGGGGATCACAGGCATGGGCAGTCTGTGATTGCTGTTGGTCCAGCCTGCATCTGGTGCCTGTATGTGTCCTGAACTGACTGGAAACACAGAATCAGGTGGTTCACAATGTGTCGACCCTGCAGTTCCTGTCTGGGTTTTGCCTGTACCCTGAACTTCCTGGGGATGTAGGTTCACTGGACCAGGACTGTCACATCAGTGCAATCCAAGTCTGGGCCATGCACGTGCCCTGAACTGCAAGGCAATGCTGGATCAGATGGTCAGCCATCAGCTGACACCAATGCCCATGTCTGAGACCTGGGATAACTAGATACAAATCAACAAATGCCAGAAAACCCCAGACTAAGTACAGCTTCTCAGCAGACACTGAGGGGCAAGCTCAACCAACAGGAAAATTAGGGACACTAGTGGCCTTTGCTGTGCAGCTACTGAAGAGGGAAACTGAGCTTTCTGCATCCAGTATCAAACATGACAATATAAAGCATTAAAACACAACCCCAGAACTCTACCCCACTCAGAACAAGTCCAGGAGACATCGGCATGGGAGAACTTGGTAAACACATGCCTGAAATTGCTGAAATGATTGCAATGGAAGTAAAGAAACAACTGCATAAGGCCATAGAAGAGATGAGATCAGAAATAATCTCTCAGGCAAAAAATGAAATGACAATAATAATGAAAGAACTGCTCAAAATGTCTGAAGAAGAAACAGATAAGAAAGTAGAAGAACAAAGGCAATGGATGGAAGCGTTAAATGAAAAATACAGAAAGGACTTAGAACACATGAATGAGATTCAAAGAGAATTTAAGGAAAACAAAGCTTCCATTGAAAGCTGCCAAAACCACTTGAATGAAGCTGAAGATAGAATTTCAGTCTTTGAAGAAAGTATGGCAGCTAGCGACCGTGAAAGAGAGGATCTCATAAAATCAACAAGGATCCAGGAAAAGTCAATTCAACAGCTGCAAGATGAGGCAAAGAGGAATAATGTACGACTTACAGGAGTCAATGAAACAGCA